TTTCAGAAACTTTTAGACCAATTGAAGAGAGACCAAACAAAAAGGTTCAAAGTTGAAGCAATATGTGGCTTACAAGGAAAGCTGAAAATAAAAATTGCCTACATTTTTAAAGATCTAAATAGGGAGTGTATATTCTTGGTCCACAGTCTATAGGCTCAGTTTAGCTAAAATAAAGGTGGCTTAGGCTCCACCTATGGAAAACTTCAACAACAGGGAGCAAACACTCAACAGATTGAGTTTAGAAGCCTTTAAAAGTTGGTATTGTACAGAACTGCTAACAGGAAGAGCCTGTTGGAATTTCTAAGTCCTTATTCTCATTTCTATCTGTGGATCTTTTTTCCAGTCTTTTGTAAATTTTGATCATTTAGTTTTATCTTACCTACATTTGTTTCTTTCCTTCTTGTCCTGCCTGATATTTTCTTTTCCCCTGCCGTGCTCTTTTGTTTCTGCTGGTTTTCACTCGTAGTTCAAGTGTAGAACAGAAAAACACTTGTTTCTCTTCCATTAGTTTTTTTGGTCTTGCTTGTATAAAAGCATACTTTCACAAATCACCTTCCTTCTCAGGGGTCAGGTTTTCAGATCATCTTGTCTTGCAGGTGTCCACTGAGCTTAAGCTTTCTCTGCAGCTTCTCTCTTCCATCACTTCTTCAGATTTCCATCTGAACTCTGTCTCTGTTCCCAGCTGGATCTCTCATGTGAAACTCTCTCAAATATTGATTTGTAGGTAATGTACCTTCTGCAACTTTTATACCTTTTTATTTTGGTTGGCTGCAGGTTTTGGTTTTTTCTGCCTCAGTAAGCATCCCCATTTTAAAGTGAAGGCACCCCCTTCTGTACAACTCCCATTTCTGGTGTTCTTTGCTTATTGGCCTTCTCAGTGAGTGCCATCATTTTTAAACCTTTCTCCATGGTCTTGTGCATCCTGATTTAGTATCAAGAGTTAACTCTGGTAGTTGTCCTGATCTGTCTGCAGTTGAAGTTGCTGGCCCCTGTGGTTTACTGGAAATACTGATCACGCTGCTGATACTCCTTATGTCCTTATCAAACAACAGTCTCAGTGCTAGGTGGAAATGAGCATCTGAATTCCTCTTTAGTGTTTTCCCTGATCAGAAATTTGAGTGCTGCCTTCACTTGCAAGATGATGAGGTCTGGTTTTGCACTTGCCTTGGTTTTGTTCTTGTGTCAGGCTTTTACACAGTCATAATATGCTTTTCTGCTTGCCATCACAGAATGAATGGATGTCTTGCTGTCTCTTGAGTCTGTGGTTTTTTTTCCAGAAAATATATTTTGTCTGTTTTCTGGCATCAGTCAGACTTCAATTGTGCAACCCTCTCTAGTTGCTGTTGGCACACTCCTCTCCACAGGGAAGGGAGGAACCAAGCTACCCCAGAAGGGAAAGTCTGTTGGATGTCACAGAAATCCCACTCTCTTACGCTGTTTTCACTTAGTTTTTGGTTTACTTTGTAAAGAAGGGTTTTCATCTCAAGCAGTTCCTCATTTCTTAAAGTATTTTCAGCTGTTAATCATGGTCATGGGTGCTGTCAGTTCTACTTTTTGGTTTTTTACTTTTCATTTTGTTACATTTTAGCATGCAGTGGCAGTTTTTAAGTATTAAAAGTCTTTAAGCATAAAATCCAGTATTTGTCATTATTTATTTTCAAGTATAGCGTGAAATAATGGAGAGATACTCCAGAATTTGCTTATCTTAAAGGCCCAAAATGAATGTACTATTGCTGTCCTTTTAGAGACATACATAATTTTCTTTGGAAAAACTGTGCTCAAATAAAACAGACTATGACATTAATTGTAACCATTTGTTAAGACCATTTTGATCTGTTTGGCATACTTGGTTATCTGTAATAGGAAGGCAAACATACACTGTTATTTTACTGATTAGTAGTTAAGCATTCTACTTTGGGGAAAACGTGAATTAGAAATAATCAATATTTATATTTGAGTGTTTACTTTTTTGTGTGTTTTCTTTATTTTGATCACATTTAGGGGAATTCCTTGGTACTTTTTAGTAATTCCTGTGACACCGAAAGTCACAAAAGTAAGACTCGGGCAGAGAACCTGACTGTACAGAGTGGGATGCACTACCTTATTCTTTTAGAGAGGCTGTAGCAGGTCTCATGTCAGTCACTTCAGAGACCTTTAGACCTCAGTGCTCATTTATTGGTAAAATGTACCAGCTTTGCTCCTGCATTATGAAGATCGTCTGTCAACACTTTGAGATATTCTCCTTTGTTATTAAGCTTGTGATGCTCTACACTGTCAGGTTTTTTGCCAATTATAGTTAAGGTACAATGGTGTATTCACTGGATCAAAGTCTCACACTGGCGGTAGAGGAATGATTTGTAAGTCTTTATTCATCTGAATCGTACAATAGAATACCTGAGGAATGCAAATAATCCCTCTAAGGACTCAATAGAAAAGCTGTTAAAATGACAGTCTAAGACTATTATTATTCTGAATTGGTGTTTTAGCCAAAGTAATTATTTCTTATCTTGTTGTTCCACAATAGTTCTTAGTTTATTAGTTATGATGACCATATTTACCAAACAGAATTTGAATCAAATTTTTGACATTATTTTCATGCTCGTTTCACTTTTTCAGGTTTACACATTTCATTCCATCTTTCTTCACTTGGCACATTATTTAATTAGTCTGGAGACCAGTGTTAGGTAATTCCTTAAAAAACCCATCTATAAAGAATGTATGCACATGTGTCGAAGTACACTCATGAATCGTAGATTCATTTTGAGACCTATTTTCTGTAAAATGTTGGCATTTATAAGCTCTGAACTTTGATACCCAATTTGTTAGCCAAAATAAATTAATTAACTGCAAATGTTAATTTTAGAAATGCTGTTAAGTGTCAGATTTCCCATTGGGAAACACACCTTAATTGTGATTTTCAGTTCAGATGTTTCTGGAGGCAGTAGTGTTTCATTATCAGTCCTGGATCCCAAACTCTGTTTTCACTGGGTAACTGGAGGCAGGAAAAGATTAGTATAATGAGGATTGAAGAACATTGACGGGGTATTTACATAAGTAAATGATAGAAGACCAGCCTTATATAACAAATGTGTAAAAACTGTTGAGTGAACTTCTATATTCTTTGTACCATCTAAAACCTTACTCAGTCGGCCATGCACTTAATCTCATAATAGCTCTGATCCCCTGCTATTTTCTCTGACAAATGTGTGTTGATGAACTTGTGGTTGACTTCATTTTTTTCTGAAGTGACATTTGCATTGATTATTTAAAGGTTTGCAGGCAACAGTTTCAAAGCACTTTAGTATAATAGCAGCTAAAACCTTAGTCTAAATCTTACAGATTAGCAGGACTAAGAAAAAGAACTCAGCAAGCATAAAGCCCTGTGCTCTATGGTGGGTGCTTCAGGTCTGAAACATTGCTGGCACCCAAAGTGCTGTGTTTTATGATTCCATTATTCGTGTACAGGAAGTATTCCCATGGCTCCTGTGTTTGCTTGCTGAGCATAGAGCTGTCATTCTTCCCATTCATACGTGTTTAGAAAGTGTCCTGTTAACAGTAGTGAACTCCTCCCAGGTAATTTACAAATGTCTCCCTTAAACTTACAATAAATACTTGCAGTCATGAATATGATGCTTGTGTTTAAAGATTTTTTTTTAAACACCATCTACTGCTCTAAAGTTTTCACAGAATCACAGAATATTCTGATTTGGAAGGGACCTATGAGGATCATTGAGTCCAGCACCTGACTCTGCACAAAACCATCCCCAAGAGTCACACCATGTGCCTGAGAGCATTGTCCATCTGGGTGAAGAACTTTCTCGAACACCCAAACTAAGCCCCCCCTGACACCACTTCAGGCCATTCCCTCATTCTTTGGTCAGCAAAAGAAGAGATCAGTGCTGTCCCTCCTCTTCCCCTCACAGGAAACTGTCACTGCAGTGAGGTCTTCCCTCAGTCCCCCCCAGGCTGAACAGGCCCAGTGACCTCAACTGCTGCTTACACAGCTCCTCCTCAAGGCCCTTCCCCATCACTGTTTCCCTCCTTTGGATCCCCTCTAAGACCTTTATAGCCTTCTTACATTGTGATGCCCAAAACTTCCCCCAGAACCGGAGGTGAGGCTGCCCCAGAGCAGAGCAGGACAATCACAGCCCTTGCCTGGCTGGCCATGCTGGGCCTGATGTATCCCAGGGCACACCTGACCCTCCTGGCTGCCAGGAGGCTGCCAGTTTTGTTTACTTCGGGTAGGGTAATTAACATTCAAAAACTAACACTCTGAGTTTTTAGCTCCAAATTTGTTGTTTCATTCAACTAAAAGAAATTATGCATAGCAAGCTATTGTAAATGCTGCCAGTTACTAAAGATGAATAGGAAATTTTTTTTTCTTTATTTAAAAATAATCGTAGTATAGAAGCCAGAAGCTTTGTCCTGGAACAACAGTAAAAAGGTGGGAAAAACCAGTAGAAACATGGAACTGTGTTGATCAGCCATGGCATACTCCCAGATCAATATGCAGAAAAAGCACGTGCAGCTTGCTATATAGGAGTGTAGTGTTCTTTCCTATCTGCTAATATCAGCAGTCTTAGCTACTGAGATGCCTTTTTTTTAATTAAAAAAAAAAGTCAGGAAAAACTGAAGGCCCTCAGTTTTACCACATCTGATAAATATAATTCTTGGAAGTACATTTTTCTCTCAGAAAGTTTTATTCACTTTTTAGATTGCAAGTATTTAACCTCTACCAAACACCTAGTTATTGTCCCAAATTATGCCTATTTCTGTAGATTAAATGCCAAACAGAAACCAGGAAACAGTGAAATGTTAATGGAGTACACCTGAAGCAATTGCTGCCTGTTAATGCCTTGACCTTGGAAAGCAATACACAAAAAGATGGCATCATAAATCCGTGCAATTCTTATGAATATGTATGTGCTACTTGATAATAATGAATGTGGTACAGCCATGCATGCACTACAAGATAATGTTGTGCCCTTTGTTGTCTACAGGTTGATAAAAATTAAAGAGTGGGTGGACAAGCACGACCCGGGAGCTTTGGTCATTCCTTTTAGTGGGGCCTTGGAACTCAAGTTGCAAGATATGAGTGCTGAGGAGAAACAGAAGTATCTGGAAGAGAACATGACACAAAGGTTAATTAGCATTCATTTTCCCTACACTTTATTATCAACTATTTCCTTGCAGTAATTTAATTGCTTGCGCTGATAGAATAATAAATGACAGAGTAATTACCATTATAAAGAGAGAATCTTCTCCTTTCTTTACCATGAGACAGAGTGAAAAGATTTATTTTAAATTAAGTTTTTAACTGTCATCTGTCATCTCTGTACAGTGTTTTAATTATAACATAGGTATTAGTTATGTATATTTTTGAGAAGGAATGATCACCAAAACTGTTTCGTCATCTATGGGGAATAAGGACAGTGGAGAAAATTTTGCCATAATTTTCTGAGGAACTATAATAAATTGTTTCAGTATTGAATTTCAGTCAAACAGATACGCTTTCATGACCTGGAGTCGTGAAAATTGCATGAGACAAGAGTGCTGCCTGATAGGGTGATTTATATTTATCCCATGTTTCTGTAGGTTGCCAAATAAACAAATCAAAATGCTGTCTTTATGATTTTGCAGTAAAAAAGTATTTCTTTTGAGGAGAGTTCAAAGTAAAAGGCTACTGCAATTATTGCTCTGTTCAAAAGTAGACCTGATACCTTCAAAATATGTGATGTCTTTCCACGTAAATTGATTACTTGGCGCATTTAGCTGTTTTATGTGTATGTGCTGAATGAATTGGATTCCTTCCCCCTTTTTTTTTTTTTCAGTGCTTTAGCAAAGATCATTAAGGCTGGATATGCAGCACTCCAACTAGAATACTTTTTCACTGCAGGCCCAGATGAAGTGCGTGCATGGACCATCAGGGTAAGATTCATACTTATTCATCAGCTATATCCAGTTCCACACTATTGAATTCAGATTGATATCACTGACTTTGAAGTTTGTCATGGTGGCGGTTAGCTAGTCATTACAGATGAGGTTTTTGTCCAGGATAACTTTAATTATTTGTGAGCTGCTGAACAGTGAAAGTGGAGCTGCATTGATTGAGGCAGGTAACAATTGATTCTGCCTATTACATAGTCTGAATTTCTTCATCCTGTAGAATCTGTCTACCCTCCTCCTGTGGTCAGAGATAAGACGTACCAGTATTGTGCTTGCTTAATCTGTGTGACTGGGTTTGTCTGCAGTGAAATTGATGTTGCTTTTCATTTTGTATTCACTAAGTTTGTTTGGGCTGCGGATGGTTCATTCCTCCTGTGCTTTGCTGGGATTACATTTTAGCAATAAAAGCAATATAACGTCATTATATTCCTCGTGGATACACAGTTGGGCTCCAAATCCTAAAATCAGTGTGCAGTAATTCAGGTCTTTTACTGACTTTAGTATTTAGACCTAGTTTATTTTGGTAGTTTTATATGTTTATCTGGGAACTTAAGTAATGTCTAAAACAATATTATGTATTTTAAATATTGATGTAGAATGGTTATAGCCATAGACATCAACTGATTTATTCAGTTTATTCCCAGAGGACAGTAAGAGCTGAGCTGTAATGGTTTGCCTTTGAATGTAAATATGTTGCAATATAAAGATCAATATAGAACAAATATTTTGGAATGTGTACACTTGTAAACTCTTACCTTAAAAATTACAACAATGTCAACTTTTGGAGGTGCAGTTCAGTCTTTGAGCTTCTGTTTTTTGCATCATTGTATTTAGGGCTGTGCAATGAGTTTCAGTGCTGTATTTAATTTCATTCACTGGAATTAATTTGTTTTCATTAATCAACATAATTTCCTGTAAATTTATATTTTTAATAGTACTGCTACAGATGTTTGTGTATTTGTTTTAGCACATTAAACTTATTTTCTTAAAAGCATGTGTGGGGTTTTTTAGCTTTTTTTTCTCATCTCTGTTTACATAATAACTGCTTGCTAAGGTCCCTGAAACAGCAACCAAAATAATATGAAAACAGGGTTTTGTAGTTCTGATTCTTGCCATAGTTGAAAAAAAGCATATTGTGAAATTCCACATTTTTTCAGTAGAAGTGCTTGCTCTTTATTAGAGAATTTGAAAGCTGGTTTATCTTAAGACTGATTGTGAGTATCTTTGATTTAATGTGCAAAGATACTTAGTCAGGTAAGCATCAGTGAGTAGCCATATTAAGCCAATACATCTTTTATTGTAAAAACTGTGCTTTACAGTGTCAGACTCCTTAGCACTTTAACATGCTTTATTAAGCAGCCTTTAGGTCACCATTATTGCTCAAATTTCTCTCCATGGTTGTGTGTGCACAGAATGTATGTCCTTGTAATTTGAAGCATGCAGCTATAATGCATTCTCCTCTATTGCATAAACTTAAATTATCGTATAGTTGTCGGTGATTTTTTATTTTTTAGTGATTCGGTTGTTGATGTTTTGGTAAGAATACTCAGTTTGTTCTATATCAAACTTACTAAAATTGTTCTGAAATAAAAATAAGCTAATGTGTACGGCTTGACATCCATATGTCATTTCTCATTGCAAGTGTTGTTCGCCATGAATGTTATCTTTAATTGAAATTATTTGGATGTAAGTGAAAGTCTTGAGTAATTCAGATTTTAAAGTTATTTAAAAATCTTTATCTTCCTCACTTTCTGTGTAGAAAGCTAGGGGTCGAAGCAAATCTCACAACAAAACACAGTCATAGCTTCTAAAATCAATACTGCTGTTGATAGCTATTAGGAAAAACAAAGCTGCTGTTCTTTAATGTCGGTTGGTTTATCTGTGGCAAAGGCACTGTCTGTGTCCCAGTATTGAGGATTGCCCAGCTGCATGTGTGGCATTTTAGCTGATATGAAACAAAGTTTCAGCAGAACCTTAAAGCATATAAAAAAGGAGAAACCTCTTTCCTGCAATCAATCTTCTTAAATGCAATTAATTTTCTTCTTGTCTTTCATTTGACAGAAAGGGACGAAGGCTCCTCAGGCAGCAGGGAAGATTCACACAGATTTTGAAAAGGGATTCATTATGGCTGAAGTAATGAAATATGAAGATTTTAAAGGAGAAGGTTCAGAGGCTGCTGTCAAGGTGAGCTCCCCACTTTTTCTTCTCCCTCCAAATGTGCCATTCTTCCATTTCAAATCTGAATTTTCACTGGAAAAAGTTCTTAATGCTAAGTGAATCTTCAGTCACTTCTAGCAATTGATCAAAATCTATTTTCATCTTTTACTTAAGAAAGAGTTCAAATGAACCAACTTACTGGACAGGAATGCAACTATTTCAGTACCCAAGATATAACAGTGCATGGACTACAAGTCAGCACTAAGACTAAATGTAATGCTAATGTGTTGAGATGTTTTTCTCTCTGTTTACATATTTGTGTTCAGAACTTAATAAGCTTTAAAACTGACTTGGTTTTGAAAAATCAGGTTTTTAAGATGCAAGAGATTTTATTAATCACTTCTAAAGGGAAACATGAAACAGGAAAATCTGTTTCTTCTAAAAATGTATCATCTTGTTTTGAAGAAAGGTATTAAAAGTGTCAGATGCAAATGGTTAAGAAAATATTATATTATAAAATTGTACCCTTTTTTCAGGATTAGTGGGTTCTACTTCTAGGCTCTGGTAAGCATAATTAGGATCTTACAGTTTACCCTTTCAGTATTTTATTCAATTGCCCTTTGATGTCTCAATCAAAAATGCCATGCCTTACTTTGGTCGTTCAGGGTGGCTACTATGTGCTGAATAGACAGTAAAGATATTTAATGGAAAACTTTTCTCCTTGAGCCTGCTCTTCTTTGTGGTAACACTTGTGTTGAGAAGAGTTTCATCTGCTTTCTCAACACTAGAGGGCAGAGACTGCTCGGGTGCCCAAAGTTGGGCCCTTTCAGAGCTGACAAATTATATCTGATTTGATGTTATTAAGTATGAAATGAACTTGTACACGGCAAAAAAAAGTCATAACGAAAGCTGTTCTTCTCTGCGTTGCTAATGCGTTTTCTTCTTCTTTCTAAGCAGAAAAACTTACCTTTATTTCATATACATTTGATTTCTCGTTTGTCACTTCTGACATTTTCTTAAGATTTGTATTTTATGAAATTGCAATTACAAAGCACATGAGTTTGATTTACTCAATCTCAGTATTTGAAGGTTTCTACACACAATAATGTGTTAAAGAATTTAAAAGGTTTGGCTTTGTTTGCTATTTGATAGCTTGAAAGGTATGCAAAACTATGATTTCAAATTCAGCCTATTCTCAGTGGTATCACTAAGGAAGATCATACTGAGCAGCGGGACTTTAATAGGTTTGTTTGAACCCCAGGAAGTGAGGGAAAAAAATCCCATATAATTGGTTCGTTGCGGCATGTGAACTGCTTTATGAAAAGGGAAGTAGAGTTGTAGTTGTAAAGGGAAGCCACAGCTATAAATAAATCTAATATTCTGCAGTCAGAAACCACTTTACGTAACAGATTCAGATTTTGCCACTATCATTGTTGATGCTCAAATATGAGTGTTTTCCCTGAGAGGCTACATCAGTTAACACCTATTAAATTAATCAGTATTTTGCTTGTATATTTTTATTTGCTTTTCACAATGTGAGATTCTAGAAATGAAACTTCCATGCTGAAATCATATTTAATGATTAAATTTTTATTGTTATGATGTAGCTGTAAAACAAGCAGATTTGCATTTGTTACTCAGTTTTAAAGTCAAGGTTGGGGAAAAAACCTTGTTCTTAGAATAAAGTGTCATATTCCTCTGGTCTTTTCTAATTTGCATTTAATACAATGTTTCATGCCATAGACAATGCTAATTGCTTTTATATTGCTGGTAAATTTCAAAATTAAATTTAGGCGCTTGTAGTCATCTTAAATAACAGTGGTAATGGGAGTTGCTTGCTTTGTATGTTATCAAGTTGATCGATTTTTAAGTTTGATTTTGTGTGTGTTTAACACCAGTACAGCA